GTATCTGACGTTTGTAGCCAATCGGGTACAACTTATCAGGGAAGCAACCAGTCTATCCCAGTGGCATCATGTGAGCACAAGGGAGAATCCAGCAGATATGACTTCCAGAGGCGTTAAGAGAACACAAGACTTGATAAATGGCATCTGGTTCAAGGGACCAGATTTCTTGTGGCAATCAGAATCAGAGTGGCCGAGAGATGTGTTAATAGACTTAGACGTGGTGGATGTGGAAATGAAATCAAGCTTCACCATAGTAGAGGCTGGAGATAAGTCAGTGGTTGACATGTTGGTGTCCAAAATCTCAAATTGGAAGAAGATGAAAAGAGTGATGGCTTGGGTTTTGATTGCTAAACAGAAGTTCTTGACCAAGATTCGACCGAACGCAGGGGTTGTTGCCGGCAGAAGTTGCGTTGTACAAGATCCTGGGCAACCGACAGTAGAGTTATTAAACAGAGCCGAGGAATTTATTTTGAAGGAAGTGCAATCTAGTGCCTTTGAAAGAGAGATTAAGGAGCTTGAGGCTGGAAATACTGTGAGCAAGACCAGCGTATTGTTCAAATTCAACCCAATAATAGGTGAGGGTGGATTGGCAAGAGTTGGAGGAAGAATAAGCCAGGCAGACGTAGCGTATGAGGCAAAGCATCCTGTGTTCCTTCCCAAGAATTCAAGTGTGGCAGAGATGATCGTGAGAGAGATTCATAAAGATGTTGGTCATCTCGGGAAGAATACCATTCTGGAAATACTCAGAGAGCGGTACTGGCTCTTTGGAGCGAATGGGATAGCAAAGAAGGTCGCCAGAGAATGTGTAACATGCAAGCGTTACCAGGTTAAGCCATGTGAACAAGTGATGGCAGATTTGCCTTCTAATAGAGTCCAGGCAGATGGAGCACCTTTTGAAAATGTTGGCGTGGACTATTTTGGTCCGCTGATGGTGAAGAGAGGCAGATCAGAGGTCAAACGATACGGAGTAATTTTTACCTGCCTGTCGTCTCGAGCCGTCCATCTTGAGGTAGCGCATAGCCTGGACACTGATTCATGCAATAATTCAATCAGAAGATTTATGGCAAGAAGAGGACCTGTGTTAACCATTACATCCGACAATGGAACCAATCTGGTTGGCGCGGAAAAGGAATTGAGAGAGATGTGGAAGAAGATTGATCAAGCCAAGATGAAGGGTGTACTCAATAATGTTGGGATTGATTGGATCTTTAACCCACCAACAGCATCCCATTTTGGTGGAGTGTGGGAGAGGATGATTAGGTCAACTAGGAAGATCCTATACAGCATCATGGGAGATGAAGCACGTTTACTTGATGATGAGGCGCTAGTAACCTTTGACAACGACATTTACGGATCCAGGGGATATGTTGCCTTTAACTCCCAATATGCTGATAAACCCCAGAGGAAGAGTTATCCATTCACCAGGAGTTTTTGTGAGTAAGGATGCATATGCCAGGAAACGTTGGAGACATGTACAGCACTTGGTGGATGTCTTCTGGTCTAGATGGAGGAAAGAGTATTTGGTAACCCTCCAACAGAGAGTGAAATGGCAGCGCCAGAGGAGAAATTTAACAGCTGGTGACATAGTATTGATTGTTGACTCATCAGCTCCTAGGAACCATTGGGTGATGGCTGTCGTAGAGACAGTATTCCAAGATAAGAAAGGAGATGTTCGATCGTGTATGGTGAGGACGCAATCAGCGCTACTGGAGAGACCGGTGTCTAAACTGTGTATTCTGGTGGAAAACAATTAGGACTCAGCATTTGAAGTGAATTTGTCATATGTTGTTTTATTGCTTAGATTCGCAATTGGGGGTGGGAGTGTTAATGCCAAGTTCACTTCCTAATATTATTTACGTCTGTCGCCCTCTCTAGTTTAGCCGTGTAAGAAAGTTTTACACAATATGGCTGATAAACGTCAGGCTATACTTTGATGTTTTAAATAACAAGTATAATTGTGTTTCAGAAGGTGTTTCTCGGTATGCTTAGAGATATAGTAAGGATGATTCATGTGTCATATCATTAAGCAGTATATTAAGGATGTACTACGGATAGTTCTAAACCTATTATTGCTGTGTTTATAGGAGCATTTATGTGAGTGCTCGGCCTTCACGCTTGAGTGAGAAGGTGTTTTCTATCTGCTTAGGCTAGCCTATTATAGTACATATCATTCGTTTAAAGTTTTGAGATGTTCATTGTTATTAACATTTGTTTAGGTGTTCGGGGATTGTTGTCATAAGATATTTAGGATGTTTCCAGAAGTAAATGCTATGACTACATAGATGTTCAATGTAGCTGTTGAGTTGCACAGAGATTAGGGATCAACTGTACGGTAAATAAACTTCATTTTCTAGATTGAAAGTTGGTAAAATAATAAAATAATGTAGTCAACCATCCTTTAATAATTATCAAGTTCTTCGTTATCTAGAACATATACGGTACAGGCTGTACTTTGCATGGAGCGTCATTATGTTAATGTTCATCACTTTTTATTACCGTATGTTATATCTGATATACCTTATTAGATGAGATTAATTTTGATTGATTTACAGTTAATCGTCACTTGTATCAGTGTCAACTGTCACAGATGTGTGGTTGCGCTTAAACTTGAACTAAGGATAAGAGTATATGTTGATATTCTGTCATCAGTTCCGAAGTTTTTAAGACGCATTAAACAGAACTCCAAAATCTCTGCTGCATTCTTGTTTGTTTGATTTATTGACTCAACAACCACAATCAGTGATCTTGATTATTACTGATTATTATTTGGTGTTTATACAATATTTTTAATTTGTGTACAGAATACAAAGGATGATTGCACATATAGGTGTATTATACCTGATGACAGCGAGGATAACATCAGCTGTGTAAAAAAGAGACCAAAAAAGCGCATAAATAATGAAAAGCACGAGGTAAGTGCATTTAAATAATAACAATAACAGTGAACATGATTATTATTGGTTATTTATTGGGGGGTTTTTTTACAATATTTTTTATTTCTGTACAGAATACGGAGGATGATTACACATATATCATATCTGATGAGAGTGAGGAGAACGTCAGCCATGTAACGAGACTAAAAACGCATATAAAAAAAAAGAAAAATATGAGGTATGTGCATTTAAACAATAACAGTAGTCACACATTACATTTGATAAAAGCGAGGAACATCAGCCGTGTAAAAAAAGAGACCATAAAAGTGTGTGCATTTAAATAATAATAATGACAGAGTATACTTTTTAAAATTCTATAGTCACATGTATTAACTATTTTTGAAAAGGGATTAAAATGTCCACTTTGTCAAATAGGGAGTTTTTTCAATGGAAGAACTAGTCAGTTCGATGAGTGGTCTTAGTTCTGCTGATGTCACACCAAACAAACCAAAGAGAAAGGCAACTAGATGCTTATTTTCAGAGGATGAGTAAGTGAACATATTTTCCTCAACCATTCACACTAGTACTCTTCTTTCATGAAATCTAATAAATATCAAACAGTTAGTTTTAGACTGTAAAAGGGGTGGGGAATGTGGGTAATGGGAAATGAAATATTTATAAAAGGAAGGAAAAAATTATGAAATATAAATGAATAATTGTGATGCAAGTATAACCACTTATGCTTTTTTTTTGCTCATTAATTAAACATGTACAATTTTGTTCTCCTAAGTTGATTTACATTAAATTTATCCCTTTTTATTGACACAATAGGGACACAGATGATATTCTGTTGAAGAAGGGTAAGAGGACTTACATTAATCAAACAAATATTGAAAAGTATAGGGTGCAGCGTTATCTGAGGGCGGAAGGCCAGAGCCAGGGTTGGGTATAGGAGGGGGTGTCCCCTCCTCCAAAACGAGATTTAAAAAATAAAAAATGGGACTTCTAGGTCTGTCTCTTATACACATCTTTAAACAAAATGTCGGAAAACTTTTCTTTGACGCATGCGCATTTGCATAAATGTCTACACACACACACACGCGATGTAAAAAAAAATGTCGGAAAACTTTTCTTTGACGCATGCGCATTTGCATAAATGTCTACACACACACATACACACTACACACAATAAAAAACATAGGAAATAGCAAGAGTGATTACAATAGTTCCTATTGCATTACATGCATAGGAACTAAAAAAGAACCACTTTCCAATATTTGTGATAGTTGGAACTGGCAGTGTGCACAGCCTTGCAAAAGACGTGGATTTTGTAAGGGTGGCAGACGGACGTTACAGATTTGTGGCGGCTCCCTGGTGTGTCACAATATGGATTGTGCGTATAACAAAATCTACAAGATGTCAAATAAAGTGGATTTCAGTAAGAAAAAGAACTGTTTACATTGTAATCAAGAAGCCTTCAAAATAGATTGTGCTGCAAGAAAATATGTGGAAAATGATCGATGCCATAAAATCATGACAGTTTATTATGTCTGAGAGCACATTTGTTCACCACGCGCTATTGAAACATTGCCCAACAAAGATGAAGTAGAAGATATTATTCGCACAAGGCCATCAATTACAACCAGCCAAATCCAGTTGGAAAAAGTCCGAGAGGCATTGCTAGATGGTAAGGATGCAAATGAGGTAGAATGCGTTGCCCAGAAATTCAGCAACTCAAGGCACCTTCGGTATCTTCGAAGCTTGGTAAATGAAAAATCGAGACCTGGGGGGTCAGACATTGAGGCAGTTCGTCTTTTAAAGGAGGATTTTGAAAATCGAGGTTTAGATCATAATTTGATTTTAGAAGTTGGAGAAGATTATGTGTTACTTTCAAGTGAACAGAAACTTAAAATGGCAGCCCTCATTACCATTAATAAAATTAATGAACCAGTCAGTCTTGATGGATGTGAAAGTCATGCCAGAGACTACACAGAACTGGAATTGACAACATATGTTCCAGTTTTAAGAAGGAATGTAAAACTTGCCAATATATTTGTACCAAGACCTGGGGAAAACTCAGAAAATGTCCAGAAACTGGTGGAAAAATTTGATAAAGCTGTGAAAGAAATATTGTCATTAATTGCCTTAGAATATAACCTTAAGTCAGAAGAATTTCTGGGTAAGGGTCTGGATGCCTCTGCTTACGTCGGAGATGAGGGAGGCGCCTTATGGGGAGGTCTATGTAAAGCAAAGGGTGATCATATTAAAAACAAAACTATTTCAGATTTCTTTCATTTTAAACAAGATCTGAATCGATATAAGGTCTACTTTCAAAATGATAAGGATAAAGCAAAATTTCAAACATTGATGCTTGAGGCCTATAATGCAGTCACATCTATTCAGGCAGACGAAGCAGAAAAGGCCCTAGAAAAATTAATATCTAAGCAGTCCAGCAATCCAACAAAAATGATGAATTACAAAATGTGGTGGTGGAGAAGGGTTCGGTGGCAGAAGTGGTGTAAAACCTATTCTTCATGTTCAGCGTCCTCTGCTGAAGTGTCCAATGCTAAATCTATTAGCGCATCAGGCTATCGAAAAAGGCTGCTAGATGTCGTCATCACGGAATGTTCGGCGGCAATCCTAGAGGCAGCTGAATTCAAGAGGCAAGTTCTTGGACAACGCACAATTGGGCAGGGCCCTACTGCAGCTGACCGTATTGATAAAGCAAGAAAAGAGTTATTTGTGGAATTGGACTCTTGTGCGTCTGCTGCACAGTACATGACACGTATTGCAGACAAACTGGCAGATACAGAAGGGTGTGTTGTTGAAACAGCACAGAGTGAATATAGAGTGAACGTTAGGGACACACACAGATCTGACCGAAACCAAAAGCATAAAAATACTTCAAATCAACCTAAAAGTGTCAACAAAAGAAACCTTCACTTTTTTACAAAGAAGGTACATAACGTTGAAATGGACCTTCTGAAATGCATAAGCAGTATAGACAAGTTCGATTTCAAGATTTTGGACACTATGGGGTACTTAGAAGATATCTGTATAATGAAGGATTCTGCTTTCTGTACATCGCCAGGTTGTCTCAAGAGCCCCTGTCACCGTACTGTTTGGGTGTTGCATAACGTTTTTAATTTCACAAAACATGAACCCCTTATTTACAAAAACCAATTCTCACAAGCTGAATCGTAGAAAATTATAAGCTCTTTTCCAGAGAATTTACCATTGACAAGATTGCCGGAAGTCAAGGAACAAAGCTATAGCATAAACCTTCGCACTGGAAACAGTGATGCAAAGTGTGCTGTTTGTAAAAGCAACATACGTTGCGGGGACTTGCAGGCAACAACAGAAGGCCCATTCAGGACAATCCAGCGAAGATGGATTTCCCGTACATTTTATTTTTGTCCTTATTTAAGATGCATATCGAAACTCCTTTATTGCTCCGTTCAGTAAATCAATTATGCCATTGTTCTTCGACCCATGTTTAACTGAAGAACAAAAACAAAGCATTGTACAGTAGTATCCTAACACAAGCATTGTAAATAGAATACAGTTA